TGTGTGTGTGTGTGTGTGTGTGTGTGTGTGTGTGTGTGTGTGTGTGTGTATGTCTTTACCTATCACCTCATACCAAAGGCTATCTTGCTTCAAATGCAGGAGAATATGTTCAAGAACAGTTACTTACACTGGAATCAAGACTGCACTAGGCATTCGTTGTATGACATGGACAAAATTGCTTAATCTCTCCAAGCCTCAGTTTGCTTTCTCTGAGAAATGGGGACAATACACTATATTCTTCAAAGGTATAAAGACATAATCCAGTAATACAGTTAGCACAGGGTAGGACACATAATGTAAGCTCTCAACAAATATTCTTTTTGGTTATTTTTCTTGAAACACTACCGTGGACTAGAACACTATCATAGGATAGTACTGTTACTGTCTTTGATAAAACAGCAAAGAAAGTTTACATAATTGTTTCACAGTCCTCTATACCTCAAAATTAAGTTTTAGTATATGTCCCAAATGTCCCTTTTAAAAAAGTATGTTAGATGACATCATAAAGTCACCTAAATTTCACCTGACTATATTTCGACTTCCAGTAAGTTCCATTATTGGTTGTGCAAATATCGGGTGTTCTACCTAGCTCAGATACTTTCTCCTCCTTCCTCCTTTCCTCTCTAAGCATAAAAACTCTCTTTTAGAATATTAATTATACCTTCTAAACCCAAATTTCTGAAAATCTATGAAGTCCATGGCAACTTTTCCATAAAAATTTCAAAACTTTTCATTAACAGATGCTCAAAATTTTAGAATTTCTAGACCAAAACTCCGTATTTTTTATTAACATATAATGTACTATTTGTTTCAGGGGTACAGGTCTGTGAATCATCAGTCTTACATAATTCACAGCAAAACTCCATATTTTCTGAGTCTCATGAAAATTCTCATGTTCCTGAAATTTCTCATCTTCTTGACGGGGTTTCCCCCCCACTTTGGCCCTTTTATTACCTTGCCTGGTTTTACTTAAAAGAATATTTACAGGATATTTCTTTGAGACTCAGTTTTCTTAGCATCCAGACTCAGGTAAGAATGATCCTCCTTAGGTGAGAAAATGTGTCACAATATATATAACAATATCATGTTTATAGAAACATGAGGGTGTATACATTTTGGTTCTGAAGTACAGTAAAAACATTTTAAACTCAAATTGTACATATATCAGTTTTATCTATTAGGTGTGTTATATTTCCCAAAAATTTAACAAGCACAATTAAGGGTTATTATCTCTAACATTAAAAGAGAAGTAGTAAGAGACAAACCAGATAGGAGTTTATATAAAATGGGGTTCACCCCAACACAGGTTACATATCACATACTTTGCATATCATAGAAATGTCTGGTAAACATTTCAGCTTCAACTTACTCTGAAATGGTCTACAGAATACAACCCTGTCTATTCACACACCAGAATTAACAAATCTTTTATCCTCCCATATGTTCCTCTTTGATAACTACTAATTATAGGATGCAGGCTCTTGTTTTAATGTTATGCTTAATTAGCTAGACCTGAATCAAAGAGTGTAGGTTTTATACTGCCTTTTCAGCATTGAAGTATAGGAGGCTTAAAAGTTCCTGTTTTTATAACAAGAACTACGTCACAGCAGTAACAAGATAGCAGTCTGAATCTGTGTAATAAAAGGAGTATTTACAAAAGTGTGGACAGGACTTTTAGGGAAAGCAACAAGGAATACCTTAATACCCAGGGCTCATAATAGCAAGGAGCAGTTACCCTATGCCTGAAGACCTATGCAAGGATTTGGGTGAAGTAGTCAAAGGGCAGCATGCCAAACTTCTTAGGATTACTACAGAGATGCACTCAATGTACAGTAATTTCCATGAGAGTTGCAGTGCTCTAAAAAAAAATCCAGAAGTAATACCAGAGATACTGCAGCAGAGAAAACCAAGGTAGAAACAGTTACGAATAGGAAAGTGTGGTTGTGGTCCCACCGACTTTACCGAACACAGAGCTGTGATGGATTTAAAGTGAATAGAGCATGGACTAAGTCTGTCCTTCATCCAGTTTTATTTGTCTGTATTAAATATGTACCACTGGAATTGCTCAAGCCCTCATAGGTAGTAAACTCTAAGCATACTGAATTCCAGTTCAGACTATTCTGATGAAGGAGATAGCTGAAGGGAGCCTTGTAATTCCCACACACACTTTTAACAGTCCTGTGTATGGGAAGACAGTTCCTGGAGATTAACAACAGACTCCTGGTGATTAAACAGCTCTTTCCCCCAGTTGCTTCAGTTGTAACTAATATATCAGAACTTTATAGGAGGCAAAACAAGCTTAGCCAGACTTCTATGCCATTCCAGACTTGCCTACTGCATTCTTTTCCATGCCAGTTTCAGTTTCTGCCAGGTATGGCAGAGAATCAAGTATAGATATGGTTTGGCTACACAGATGTTTGTGTTCACTAGCACACTGCCATAATCTAGTGAGGTAGGCTTGGACTTGATAACCATTAATAGCAAGTTAGTATTATACATTGATAATTGTGGCATTCATGAGTGAAAAATCATCAATGAATTTGAAAAAGCAAGTCCAGAAATAGACTCAAATACATAAGGAGATTTAGTATATGAAAAGGTGGTATCTTAAATCAGCAGGGGAAAAAAATGCATTGCTTAGTAAGTGGTGTTAGGTTATGGTCACATCAGATTTAAAAACATTTAAACCTCACATCTTGGTATCCTGATGGATTAAATATTTGAAAATATAAAACATGAAACTTTGAACAGAAGAAATTATAAAACAATGTTTGTGCAAAATTATAACTGGAACGGTCTTTCAAAGTATGACACCAACCCGGAAGTCATAAAGGAAGAGATTAATAAATTTGACTATATCAAAAGTAAACAGCTGCATGGCAAAAATGACATAAGCAAAGTCAAAGAAGAAAGACAAACTAGGAAAAATATGTGAAATTCATATTACATAAAATCAGTGTATAAAGGCTAACCACAGTAGAAATAAAAACATAATAAATATAGACAATACAGAAATTTTTCTATAATTTTTCTACATGATTTCTATTTTTTTCTTATAGAAAAGGGGATACCGTAGCACCTGGGTGGCTCAGTGGGTTAAAGCCTCTGTCTTCAGCTCGGGTCATGATCTCAGGGTCTTAGGATCAAGCCCCTCATCGGGCTCTCTGCTCAGCGGGGAGCCTGCTTCTCCCTCTCTATCTCTGCCTGCCTCTCTGCCTACTTGTGATCTCTGTCAAATTAATTAATTAATCAATTTTTTTAAAAAAGAAAAGGAAATACCAATAGCCTTAAACATCTGAAGAGCTGCTCAATCCCACTTACAATAAGGGAAATACAAATGAAAATCACATAGAGAGGGGCACCTGGGTGGCTCAGTCATGTTAAGCATCTGTCTTCAGCTCAGGTCATGATCCGAGGATGGGATAGAGCCCTGCGTCAGGCTCCCTGCTCCACAGAGAGCCTGCTTCTCCCTCTCCTACTCCCACTGCTTGTGTTCCCTCTCTTACTGTCTCTCTCGCTGTCAAATAAATAAATAAAATCTTTTAAAAAAGAAATCACATAGAGCGCTGTGAAGTGTATAAACCTGGTGATTCACAGACCTGTACCCCTGGGGCTAATAATACATTATATGTTAATAACAAGAAATTTTTAAAAAATCACATAGGGAGGGGAGGTGGGTGGGGGATGGGCTAAATTGGTGATGGGTATTTAGGAGGGCACTTGGGATGGCCACTTATATGTGGCCGGCCACTTATATGTAAGTGATGAATCATTAAATTCTACTCCTGAAACCAATATTAAACTATATGTTAACTAACTAGAATTTAAATTAAAATTTGAAAAAGAAAAAAAAACCTAGAGAAACTTTTTCACCTATCATATCACCTATCATACCAAGATTAAAGATAAATACACAGGTGTCTATATACATAGATACATATTGCTATATATGTATTTATGTATTTGTGTATCCTGTGTATCATTGCATTAATAAAAATGGGGAAAGACAAAACATTCACATATTGCTGGTAGATGTGTAAAATGGTATAATCTCTATGGAAGGTGAAGCTGGCATTATCTAACAAATATTATGAACAAATGTATACTCTTTGATCCAGCTACTCTATTTCTGTAGGAATTTATTCTACAGAAAACACTCACACATGTGAAATTATGTATGAACAGGCTTATTCACTGCAGTAGCATATGTAAACTCAAAAGACTAAAAGCAAACGAAATATCCAGCAGTGGAAAACTGATTTAATAAATTATAATACCTTCATAAATGGAATACAATGCTACCATAACAAAACCAAAAGACAACTGACAGAATGGGAGAAGATATTTGCAAATGACATATCAGATGAAGGGCTAGTATCCAAAAGCTATAAAGAGCTTAGCAAACTCAACACCCAAAGAACAAATAATCCAATCAAGAAATGGGCAGAGGACATGAACA